CCCCGCCCTCACCCGCTTCTTCCTGTCTGTCAGAAAGCTAGTAATCCACTGACAGGTGGGGGCAGGCACAGTGAGTTGGGTCAGTTTGGAGTGGAGGATGTCCAGGATGATGGTGTTGAATGCCGACCTGAAGTCCACAAAGAGGGCCTGCGCAAAGGTTCCTGGGAAGTCGAGGTGTTGCAGGATATAATGCAGTGCCATGTTCACTTTATCTTCCACTGACCTGTTTGCCCAGTAGGCAAACTGCAGGGGGTCTAGCAGAGGGTCTACGATGTCCTTCAGGTGGGCCAATACCAGTCTTTCAAAGGACTTCATAACTATAGATGTCAGGGCGACAGGTCTGTAGTCGTTCAGTCCACTGATGGAGGTTTTCTTGGGGACTGGAATGATGGCGGAGCATTTGAAGCAGGAGGGGACTTCACATAGCTCCAGTGACCTGTTGAAGATAAGTGTGAAGAAGGGGGCCAGCTGATCAGCACACACTTTCAAGCAGGAGGGGGTCACACCATCTGGGCCTGAAATCCCCCACACAGACGGCGGGTCATTGGCTGAAACCTGAGCTTTGAGCTTTTCAGAGTAGCTCCTCTTTGCTGCTCTGATCTCCCTTGTCAGTGTGTTCCTTGCCTGGCTGTACTAATAAGAGAATTGTCAAATAGTCAGTTAGTCATTGTTGGCCATACAGTACAGTCAGAGTCCAGGGTCCAGAGTTGGTTCCGTAATCCCCCACCCAGCCGGGTCCAAACACACACACACATTCCACTTTTGCAAAAACAGCATCCCCTTCATCATCCTCCTGCACCAGTCAATCTAGCTCTTTTTATTCACAGCTGCTTTCAGGTCTTACATCAATTCCTGAACTTAGCTTCCTGTCTTCACTTTTAACAGGAAACACCCTGCGATGTACAGGAAATGGGAAACAGATGGGTCACCTCCCTAAAGTTTTCATTTCTGCACACAATTCTCAGGAACAAGTTCTTCTTGTAACATGTTTATTTTTAAGCACTACACTTTACCTTGGGCAATTCAGTTTTGCGTGATTGGTATGAAACCATTATTACTGCAATTTGTTTCTGCACATATGTTCTTAATAAATGATTGTCTTGTCATTCTTAAAGTCTGCAGTTATCGAGTCATCCATGTAAAATGTTCATAATTCCACCATGTTCATCATCATGTTGTATTGTGTAATACCATGACCTTTTATGTGACTTGTGATGTTTCTGTGTGCTATAAGTGAGACCCACAGCCAGTAGCTGGAGCCTAGACAGTGTCAAAGAGGGTGCTCCACCTTTTTCTGGCTCTGCTGGCAAATTGCTATGCCCTCCTGTCCCTCCCAGGCCACTGTATTCAGGTAAACTGGCCAATCATGTTGAATCCTCTGATCAAGAACAGCACTAATTTTCCTCTTCAACTTTTGACACCTGGTGCTTTCTCCACCTCCTCTTGGCATTTTCCTATCTGAGGCTCTTGGCTACTGCTTCCTGGCTTCTGCCCACATACTGTACATGATGACTCCCACATGTTCTTTAACCAGCTTGAATTGCTGATATTTCCTGGCATGAGATGTTAGATTAGCTCAGAAAAAGTTTTAAAATGTAAAAAAGTTAATCCTACTTGAAATTCCAGTCAGTTCCCAGGTTCATTCTTTTTACTTTCAGTCATCCTAAAAGTCATTACATTTCAACATCAGTTTTCTCTACTATTAACAAACTGTTTTATTTACTTATTTACAGATGCAATAGACCTGACTTTTGTAATGTATTTCACTTCCCAGCAGTGCAGTAAGCATTACTTAGAGAAGTAACAGCTGTTCAAGGTAGCAACAGCTTAAGGCAGCCTAAAGGACCCGCAGAACATCAGCACATATTTGATTCATTGATGCTTTAAGCTACTGGCCCTCGCATCTCCATGTGTGTGTGTTTGCATGAGTCATGCTTTGCCATCCTGGTGAATGGAAGAAATTGCTCCTATAATTTGAATTTACCCTGTTTTCTTCTCCCATTCTTTCTCTCTTATCCGGTTGTCAGCAGGCTCCTCAGCTAAAAATATGAGGTCGCAGTCCCCTGTCCCCACATCAAGATCACCGCAAAAGGTTGGTTTTGTTTCTGTCACTCAGTTCCTCTGAGTATTTTTTTTTAAGCTTCTTTCTTTACTGGAGACAGCTTGACCTGGCTTAGTGACAGCCTTGGGGCCTTTTTCCTGCACTGGTAACATCTTACTAGCTAGCTCCAGGGTCTTTATCCTACTCTATGTCAACCATAAGACATGGGAGCTTTGCATTACTGTTCACTGAAGCCTTTTACTGCTCCAGCGCTGCTAGTTTTTCTGAAATAAATGTCCTAAAGAGAGCCCACAATGGGACTGGTTGGAGGGTATTCATTGTATTAGCTAAATGCAGTATATATCTGGTAGACACCAACTGTCATCTTGTGTCGGTTAATGAATTTAAATATCAAAGACTGACTTTACTCTTAATGCGCTGACCAAGTGTTTTTAAGTTTAGCTACACATATTCTAATTACTCTCATTTTGTGTCCAAGCTCTGATTTATTGTTAATGAGCATCTTAGTAGTTAATGCCAGTCTGCAGAAGCACCAGGGGTACTTTTGTAATAAAGACTCTTTTTTTCACTGAGTTTGCACCCTGAGTCCTCTTTCTCTCCCTCTCTCTCTCACCTCCTGGTGAGAGACACCAACCCTAACAACAACATAGCTAAGCTCTCAGTGTTGTTGCAGTGTAATGTCTTCTTACATGTGACAACTACCAAGAATGCTTTTGTTTGTTTGTGTGTATGTGACCTATGTGTGTCTGCCTATGTTAGGCAGAAGGAGAGAGATAGACAGAGAACAACTCTGGAAATCAAAGTGTGAGTGACAGCTTGGCACTCAGCAGACTCTGTCAATCATATTTTGTGTGTTGTTAGGTGCGTGCATGTTACCACATTGTGTGTGTGCTGTTACTATAGAAAAAGTCTGGAGTGAACTATCAAACTGCTCAGCACATCACAGCTAGAGAGGGGTCCTCTGTGGACCTCCAGCTGGCCCCATTATCAGGCACATGAACATGCAGATGCTGAAAGCACACATCTTTCAGTGAAGCCAGGGGCCCATTATCAGACCCCAGGATGGTAGTAAACCTGCAAACACATGGTGCAAGTCTGACAGAGCTACACTTAGTCATACCCTGAGGTTGAAATGAGCTTTAGTAGTGGCCTGTTTATTGAAAACTGGGTCAGGAGCTCAAACTGCTTGTCTGCACAGTATTAAATATAATGATTTCTATCATGCTAACCCAAATGTGAAAAGATATGTCCAGTTATGCCTGTCAGATGGGTACCTCTTTGTGTTTGCCCCCTGTAGTATGAACAATACAACCTTACTGATCAATTTTATACACTACAAGACCCAATTAAGTTTTTGTTGATAAAATGGGATCTTGATGTAATTGCTTAGAAAAACATTTTGATGAGTGAGTGCATCTTGTGTTTGCTTGTTTTGGTGCACAGGGCTGGAGTGGAAATTCCTGCCCCTCTTAATCTGTTCACTGACTCTCCTTTTATTGTTATGTTATGGCTGTGTCAGCACTTCTGTTGGAGAAGGCAGAATCAAATACGTATACTATATGGTCACAGGCACACCCCCATCAATGGCTCAGTAAATTTTAAGCTGAAAATCTACAAAGTTTAATTTCTTTAAAATATAGCAATGCAAATCAAATCATGGTAACTACAGGATTATGATTGATGTAAAAAAAAAAAGTTACATAAAAGCCTGTTTAATATTTTAATCTTATTTTGTCTGGGGAGGCGACAGTGCAGTGGGTAGAGTAGTTGTCTCCCAACCGGAAGGTTGAAGATTTGAATCTTGGTGCCTGCAGTCTACATGTTGAAGTGTCCTTGGGCAAGACACTGAACCCCCCCGTTGCCCCCGATGGTTAGAGCCATTGGTTGAGGTGGAGCCGCAGATGGCTGCCATCGGTTCTGTACCAGATACAAATTCCTTGTGTGTAACATACTTGACCAATAAAGGTGATTATCCTTATCCTTCTTAGTGTCTAATATTTGTTAGATGTGTTTACCTTTTTTAGCCCCCTCAAAATCCCTTAATTCAAACAATCTGAACAATTTGAGATGAAAAAATGACTGGTTTAATAGCTTAAAAGTCATGTCTACAGAAGTCTATAACCTGTGATCATGGATCATGGATTGTTTCATTTTAATGTGTCAAACACTAGAAAAGTTGGGAACCACAAGCAAATTTGATTTAAAGGAAGATTTTGGAAACTTTCTTGCCAGGTGTTCAGATTTTTTTTAAACCTAGGCTAGCTGCTTCCCTCTAACTCCAGTCTTTATGTTTAAGATAAATCTATCCCCTGGCTCCAGCATCATGTGTAGTGTATAGACATGTGAATGGTATCAGTATTTAGTTTTGTCAAACTAGCCCTTTAAACAAGATATGAGAAAAGAATTATATGACTTCCTGTTCATCTTTCTGTCTCTAGACTACAGTGCCACCTTTTACCCCTTCACCCACCGAGTGCCATTCTGCCAGCCTGGTTTCCAACTCCCCTGTCCTCTCCGGTAGCTACAGCAGTGGCATTTCCTCCCTCAGTCGCTGTAGTGTATCGGAGGCATCAGGCACCGAACTGCCTGCAGGTGACCACCCAGCCCACCCGCTGCCTCCACCCCCCACCCTGCCAAACTTGGTCTCCAGCACTGACGAACCAATCCGCAGAGAGAACAAGACACCACCCCCCTACAGCGTGTATGAGAGGAACAACCCTCGCCGGCCTGTGCCGCTGCCCCACAGCCTCTCCATCCCCCCACAGACGGACCCCCCAGCCCTGCCACCTAAGCCTCACCAGCTCCGCACAGGCAGCATGAAGCTGGATGGAACCTCAGACCCTCGAGTTCCAAGACCGAGGCCTCTACCCAGGAAGGTGTCCCAGCTATAGATGACGGACGCTTATGGAAGGAGGTGGAATAAACACACTGGCGTATTTTGCACTTTTCTACTGGGCACTCATTTTTTGTGATCT